AGTCACTATCTGAGTTCAGAATCAGATCAGACTGACAGGTTGCATGCATTTAGAAAAGATAGCCACATTTATCTTACAGCTTTATGAACTAACCTTATCGGACACAGTGCTTGGATTCTTTTTCTGCGCACTGGGTTTTGAAATAACCTGGTAAAACAGGAAGAGAATTCTATTTTCAAAAGTCAAAAAGAGAGTTGATTGATAAGCACGGTTATTAGATGACTAATGTAACTGTACGGTGGTTGCTTGTTGAATTCGCTACGGACACTGAGGGAATTTAGACTGAGCATTTAAAGTGTGAGAATGGAGGCAGAGAAATAAAGTAATAGTTAGAGTGAAAGAGAAAAAAACAACTTATTGGTTAATAAAACTTCTTAGCAAAAACATGAAGAATTAAAGATTTATTTAAAATTTAGTAAAATATATTTATTGACTTTCTTTCCCATTAGATTTATATGAGAAGACTGATATGACTGACCACTGTTATGTCTGTATGGTAAATCTGTAGCTACAGCCAGCAGTCAGTTAGCTTAGCTTAGCTTAGCACAAAGACTGGAAACAGAGGGAAAGAGCTAGCCTGGCTCTGTTAAAGGTTTTCAGTCTTTGTGCTAAGCTAAGCTAAGCTTACTAGCTGTTGGCTCCAGCTACATATTTATCATACTTACATGAGAGTGGCATCGATCTCCTCACCTAACTGGTTTATGATCAACAGATGAGGAACAGACTTTAAATATTTACCTCGATTATTGGCTGCCCATTAGACATTTCCTTTAGCAGGAAAAAAGATTGTCAGTGACAGTGATATAGATGGTAAACAATTATCTTAGATACTTGCTCTCCATAAGCTGTTACAATACATAAGGACAAACTCAAATCTAAATGTACCTCTGAATTTATGAATTTATGTGGCCGGTTTTTCAGGGCGTCAAACAGGTCATCAAACCAGCCATCCACTTCCTCGCTGAAAGCAAGAGGGGCATTATGAAACACTTAAAAACCCAGTTTTAGGACTCCACAAATTATGGCTATTACATTTATATAAAATTCAATTCCAAAACCCAAATATAAAGTGGAAATAATGACATGTAGCAACAAATTGGTGTGAGCTGAGTGGAATGAAAGTCATTATCAGCTGACACACTGTTACTAAACAGGAAAGCAACATCGTAATTTCTTTTTGATTGTTATAACTCCCAAAATAGTAGATGGTGTGAAGGGCAGGGGGAAGTGTTTTATGAGGCACTGTGAAAGTGTCAGAGGGGGCCTTGAGAGGCGGATTGGCCAACTCAGCTGTGGCCTGAATGTTGATTACACCATCACAGACTTAATGCAGTGCACACTGCCATTACAAAATCTAAAACCAAACTCAAATTCATAAAATTTTAACAGGCTGCACTTATGTACAATCCAAATTAATAAAAATTGGTTAGAGCAAAATGGTTAGTAACTTGTTCTTTGAGAAATACAGACAAACTGTGTTGCAGAGAACTGATAACGATCTGTTACATAAGATTTTAGATGAGGTTTTTTTGACATTCTTCATCCCCACACAACCATAAAATCCCAACACAAGCACATCTCTAATTGTTTATCACTTATTTAAGTGTTTTTGTAGACTAGTATCTATCTTGAGTGTGGAGCTTTTACAGTACAGTGTAGTAAATTGCATGGAAATTGGCAAATAAGCTATAAATCTTCTCAGTGCTTTATATCACCTGTAAAGACCAGCTGACTGACCTGTGATCCCCGATGAGAAAGTAGTCCCGTTCAGCAGCCCTGACGTAGAGCACGCAGGATGGAGAGCACTTTAAGCACTTCTGGACCCATGCCCATCTTGGGTGGTTTTCAGGGTTCACGTACAACATTGAGATGCTAACAGAGGGACACAAATGATGACAGATGATGTTGGAAAAAAAACAACATTTAGTACTAGAGTGGTTCTACACTCAAAAACAAAGCTGGTATAACTGCATCATTTCATTTGAGAGGTGTTAAATACATTAAATTTAGTTTAATTTAATAATAAATTTGGTGTATTATATAAATTAAAAAAGGGAAAACTCAAAAATGTTGGTTTATGTTCTTTGTGGTAACACACTGTGATAAGTCTATCCCTCCGAGCGGCTTCTCCTTTTCCTCTGGACTCCTAAAGTACTTCAGGTGATGTTCTTGTTCACCGATTTTGAACAGCACAAAATACCGCTTCTTCCATGATTTCTGCAGAATAAACATCATGAAATAAACAATGAAATGTAATTTAAAAAACACACACACGAGCAAGAGTTGCAAATACAGTGTATCCACTGAACCAACTCTTACCTCTGTGTTCAACCGGTTAGGAGGAGGAGACTTGTAAAGGTAACCTGATCTTATTTCCGTCGTAATTATAGCTGGTCTGTAGAACACTGCATTTCCGCCTGAGGGCAAAAGAAAAGCCTATTGTTTGTGTCTTTGAAATCTACTTTATTTTCCTGAAGGTGCTAGTAGGAAAAAACAGCAAAGGATGTATTAAGAGAGAATAAACACAGGAAAATAGCAGGACTAATTGACTAAGACTACGCATTGTATGTGTACATGAGCATATTCCAGGTTTCCCTGTCAAACAAATCTTTTGTCTTTAAAAAACTAATTTTTAGTAACACCTAAATCAAACCATAAACCATAAATAAATAAATAAGATGTGATACACTACCTGCGTTCTTTTGGCTCTTATGCATTGTGACACCACACCTAGACAAAAATAACAATATGGATATTTCAGTCTCTGTCTCTTCAATCAGCATATAAATACCCACAAGGAAATAGTTAACCTTTTAAACAAACAACATAGGGTTTAAAAATAGGCTGATGCCTCGGTGAAAAGCAGAGCATGAAATAGAGTTGTATTCACAAACAGAACCCACATGAAGGTGCATGTGAGAGAAAAAGGCATATCCGCAGTAATGAGAAAATAAGTAAGAATATACATACAGCCTCTGAGTAATGTTAAAACTCAATAATATTCTCTTTATACCTGTTGTTAACACAGTTTAACACTCACTTTTCAAAGACAGAACCAAACATGTATCAGTTAGTGGATGCATATCATAAAACAGAAACAAACTAATACTTCTAACACACGACTTACTAAATACACAAAACAAACCCATAGTACTCTCACCTGTTCTCTCACCTTGACCACCTAACAGTAAGTGAGGCTGCATGAGGAAGCTGGATGTTTCTCTACATGGCAAATAGCAACAAGGTGTTCATACTGGGAACTGGACTTTCTGGTTTCTCGCTTGAGTTGCTTTTAAGGTCTACCTGCTGTGCTGTTGAGCTGTAGAATTCCACGCAGGGTTCCTTAAGGAGCTTGTTCCCCCTTTTTTGACATTTAAAAAATAAGATGGCATGATCAGGCATCAGAATGTCCTATCTTTGAGAGATTTGAAGTTATGACTTGAAGAGATTTTTTAAAAACACAAATATTCATGCACACTGTTGGGCTGTTTTTTTCAGTTTTACAAGAGTGAAATAAAGTTAAATTGGCTGGGGTCCAATTTGATGAATATTTAAGAGCTCTGGATACAAAAGGAAAGATTGATGCCAACTTGTGACATCGGATGATTTATAGGTGGGTATCTCATGAAGACTGATGAACGTGGCGAACTTATAGCAAGTCGGTAAACTGATTATGATTGTTTTCAGGGACAGGTCAGGTCAACATCTTTATACCCCCTTTAGCACTTATAAGCTCTATACAAACATTTAATAAATCACACACAATCACACACCATAAAGTACTTGTAAGCAGATATTTCAAGTGTTTATTAATAGAGTATTTTTTGGAGTAATTCTCCAACTTCAACTTCTCCCATGAAGTCATATTTGATCATATTAAACATGTGATTTACCATATTGCCATTCATTAGCTGTTTAAGCCCAACCTCTACTGAGTTTTTGAAAAAAATCTTTAATAAACGCTTACAACTACATTATAGCATATTATAAAACATTTATTAAATGTTTGTATAGTGCTAAACAGCAGGGTTTAAAGTAGTGTGTAACCAATATGTTCATAGCAAGGTCAGTATTCAGAAGTCGGAGCACATGCCTTGTTAAAAGTAGTAGAGGTTGGCAATGCAGGCATGTAGTTAAAAGACAAGAGAGGTTTCTGATAGAAGCTTCCGGAGATCACATAATCTAAGACAAATATCTCTCTAAAGTATCTCTTTCAGTCCATCTCTTATTCTGATATTATTTTGTAAATAGGCATGTCAGTCTGAGCGATGTCTGAGCTAGTCGATGTAGCACTCAGATGGAGGAGTGCAGTGCCGTGACACTTTTTTTTACATGTCCTCTGCTGAGACACATGTCAGGATAACAGGGACCAAGAGACGTGGTCAGTCGGGTTCTCAGAGGTAGATTCGAGTGGTAGTATGTGTGGTGCATTTGATGTCCCCCTGCTTGTACATATGCGCTGGGCATTTGTGCTATGCATGTAAAAGGTCATAAGGGTCATGGCAAGCATTTTAAACAGGCACTGATGGAGACTAATTTAAATGTCTCTGGCTGAAGATGCAGCATTCACTTTAATTACTCTGTGTCCTCAATATATTTGTGAAAAAGCACTTTGTGTGAACTCTCCATGAGTTACAATGTCTCATAAACTTCCTCAAGTGTGCATATAGGCCACAAGCGCACACATACAGTACATCAAGGTCAGTGTCAGGTCGGTATAAATAGATCTCTTATGGGCTTCTTGTTTAGTAGGACATGGAATAACTCTTCCTCAAGTCTTTGCCCATCCGTTTGCCCTTCACTGCCTGAAAAACCTTGTTCTTGTCTTCAAAGTTTAGATTCATGTCCTCTCCTTAATAAATCAAGGCACATACTTGCAAGAGCACCAGGACAGATATTGCAAGGCCACCCTGTTCTCCCCCCTCCCCCACAAAAAAGCCTTCACGTCTGCGACAGGCCTATAAAAGCCCTCATGCTTGAGTTGTCACTGGTTAGTGGAGTTTAATCTGCCCCGCTATACAGAAAATGAATAGTAAGGTAGGAGGGAAGGCCACAAATGAAGTAAGCTTCTACATTGGTTTCTTTTTGAGAAGAAAACGCTGTCGACCCCGTTAGTTTTTGTTCCTTTTACCTGTGGTTCATGATTTTTTATTTTTTTTTACTTTCTCTTATGTTTTCTGCTTGTGTGTGTTTCAAAGGAACTGTTTCTGAAACATCAACAGCACCTGCAGAGACAAAGAGATGTCATTGCCTACAGGATGAAGACGCTGGCAGCTAAGAAGGTGGAGATAACAGTAAGTCTATTATATTGTTTAACTGCTCTACTGTGCTGTAACTAGAAATACTATACAGTACAACTACTTGCTAACATCTGTCATTACTTAATAATTTCTGACCTTCTTTTAGATATACTGCAGGCTAGCGACACCTGCATCCTCGTAAATATAATTTGACATGGTGGGACCACATGGTAGAAATGTAGATTTTCTGAGCTTTAGTCTCTATACGTTTCTCTATATACCCTCTATATACAAAATAAGATGTAATAAAGGCTGGCTGGAACAGTCAGAATTTTGGTGTATTAAATCAACAAAGAAAAGTCCATTTTGTTGTGTCTGTAAGCATTATGTTCCAAAACACCCTAAGAGTCATATTCCTAAAGTCACAATGCGTGCTGTGTGGCCAGAATTTGTAGGTTCATGCTTTTTTATTGCTTGTTTTGTTTTTAAGTGCCTCATCCACTTGATTTTAGCTAACAGTGGTGGAACACAGAGTATGTCCTTGTGCTGCTATTGCACATTCAAGGTTAAATGAGTTGGGAATTCTGAAAGGCACTTTTGAAGAGCTCTGTTATCTTGCCTGTCTCTTGGATGTTGGGGTCTTCCTAGCTTGCTTTGTCACGTAGAACGGGCTTGTTCTTTTTTATTGCACTCTGTAGACTCTGTTCCGCATGAAAACTCATTTTGTAGATACTTTAATTGTTGCATTTGGGTCTAACATACTGTGTTCTAGAGCTGAAATGATAGAAGTCAATTAATCGATTAGTCTTTTGACAGAACATTTATTTTTAATTTAATTGTCCTTGTAATTCTGAGTATTTGCGCTTTTTCTTCATCAAACGCAATAGTAAATTGATTATTTTGAGTTTTGGACTGCTGATCAAGCAAAATGTAAGCCAGACTATACATACACTACACGTACAATACACTTGTATTATTACAACAGTATTTCCCAGGTACCAGTAAAGAGTTTAATTCACTAGCATGTACATTTAATGTACATTTAATTCAGTACCATGCATCCCTGAAAAAGGGTGAAATAGTTGTCTGCTGCTTATTATTTGCATGTGTTGCCCACAACATTGTAACTGAATGTGTTCTTTAACTTTTCATGTGTCCTTACACCTCAGAAAAAGACCAACGCAGTGAAGGAGAAAATCAGGAAAAAGTATGAGGACATGAAGCGGGTTCTTGATGAGGATCTTCGGATCACACTGACCCAGCTGGACACGGAGCACGAGGCTACAGAGAAGTTAGTGGAGGACAGGATAGAAGACTGCTACCACCTCACTCAGGAACTGGACCAGGAACTGTCCAACATGGGTGCCCTAGTGAAAACACAAGAAACTGACAATCAGGTGAACGCAAAGACATTCAAAAGTTCTGATTTCATGCAACTTATTTGGAATATAATTAGTTTTACTTACCTCAAGCAGTAATTATGTATTCTTTTTCTATCTTCCACAGAATGCAGAAACAGAAAAAAGGTGTGTTCACATTTCATTCTTTTTATCTGAGGTAAATATACTGATAGGTAAAACACATACAGTAGGAAGTCATAATAGAACAGAGTAAATTAGCTACCAAACATACCAAACATTTTTCTCTTGACAGATAGGATAATTTCCTGAAACTCAAATTACGTAACTTACCAGGTAGCTAGGGCACAGTTTTTACCGCTCGTAGAAAGCTTACCTTTACTGGAAAGTAAAGACATATTATTTTGATAAACATCACTTCCTTGTCCATCAGAAGGACACTTTTTAGAGAAAATATGATCATTCTCAAACCACAAATTGCAATTAAATTCAGTGCTTATTAAATTATTTTCTCATTTCTCATCTTTCTTATTTTTTTTAAAAATAATTTAATGTTAGAACATGTATGCAATGTATAGCACTACTTCTGTATCATGATCTGTATTTCTGTATTGTTTGATTTTTAAAGTTCTATTGTGGTAAGTGTTATTGGCATTTAAATATACTGTGTGAATTTATAGTTGTCACATCATGGGTTATTAAGATAAGATATTCCTTTAAGATAAGATATTCCTTTAATAGTCCCACAATGGGGAAATTCCAAATTTTTTGAAATTATTCCTTAGGAGAAGTAATCAAAAAGGAGTACATTTTCAATTGTTTGAGGTTCTGCAAGAGGTATCAACCCTTTGTTTTGTCTGAAATTAGAATATCGAAGACTCTGAAGTTGACTGACCCTGACCTGATTCAGATGGATGAGTTCAAGAATGAACAACTACTGAGTCTTACCATCAACCTGCTGCTGTTCATCAGATCCCAGGTCCCTGTCACCAAGAAACTGTTTCAGAGCTGTGAGTTCACCCAAAAAGGCAGGTAGATTGACATGGGAAGGAGTCTTGCTCCTAGCTATGTAAAGGGTTACAATTACTGTCAATTAGGACATTCGTGTCAAGTGTTTGTCTTTTGGGGAGAACACTGAATGTTTCTGATGTGTCTTACACAGATGCTGCAGATGTTGTCCTTGACGCAGACACTGCCCACCCCAAGCTGATAATCTCTCCCAAAGGTGACTCAGCCACTTACACAGACACCTGGCAGGACGTTCCAGAGACTCCCTCCCGCTTTGACACCACCCTAAATGTAGTCAGCGAGCAAGGCTTCAACGAGGGCCGCCAGTACTGGGAAGTGGAGGTGAGTGGGAAGACTTACTGGGAGCTGGGGCTCACCTACCCAAGCATCCCGCGCAAGGGCCGTGAGGAGGACTCCTGGCTGGGCCGAGGCAAAGAGTCTTGGTGTGTGGAATACTTTAATGGAGACTACACAGCCTGGCATGGTAGAGTCCAGCATGAGTTGCCTCTGGTGGCAGGAAAACAGTTTACTCGCATCGGGGTGTACTGCAGCTTCCCCGGGGGTTTGGTGTGCTTTCTGGGAGCTGATACTATGACTCCGCTCCACTGCTTCTGCGCTGGGACCTTCACTGACACCCTACATCAAGCATTATGTCCTGGCCATGACAACGAAGGAACAAACTGGAAGTCCCTTAAGATCTGTGATGCCTCCCGATCCGCTCCTGTTCTCTGAGGTGAGACAGGAAGGATGGGGCAAAAATGGTTAGGAATGTGTTGCCCTGTTGGGTATGTGCATCAGCTGCCTGATCTGACATTCTTAACTTCTGACATCAACTCTGGATGCTGTGCGTGTCAGGCTAGTCTAAATTTGCCTAAAGGAATTTTTAGAGGGTGTCTCTATTTTAGATTTACAGGTGGTGTAATTCATTTCCAGTTATGATGTTTTTCTTTATAGTGGACACACCAAAGCTAACGTGACGACAGGGCTGTTCTTCATACTGTGGCAGTACATTTATTTTTAAAAGTTTATTTTTAATGCTATGTTGAATCAGAATACCCAGATGAGGAACTTCAAAAGACAGAAGCTTAGTTGGCAAGGAAAGAGAATTCAATTAAGAAACAATACTAAATAACCTTTAATTTGGTCTGCTTCTTAACACTCAATCAATTTCAAGCTGGATTAGTCTACCATTAATTCAAGGACAATAATGGGGACATTATGTTTGTATTTTTTGTCAACTAATCCAATGAAAATACCAAGACCAATAATGTGTTAGTCCACCTCTTTTTGACCTTCTGTAGTTGTCTGTGGCTCTCAACCCAAGCCCATTAGTGCTTATTAAAAAATCTATAAAGGACCAGTGTGTAGGATTTAGTGGCATCTAGCAGTGAAGTTGCAGATTGGAACTATTTGAATACAGCTCAGCCGTCCAACCATGTAGGAGAAACTACAGTGGCTGCAAAACTTGTAATAAATGTGGAAGGTTCTATCTAGAGCCAGTGTTTAGTTTGTCCGTTCAGGGCTACTGTAGAAACATGGCAGTCTCCGTGGAAGCGGACCCACTCCTGTAGATAAAACTGTCTCATTCTAAGGTAACAAAAATACAATGATTCTTATTTTCTGGTGATTATACACCCATTAAAACGCTTTTTTATTATATTCTGTTTCTGCCAATAGGTCCCCCTAAATATTACACAATGGACCTTTACTCTTTTATAGTTTTTATCAAATGTTATGCAGTGGTAAATAGGGCATTTGTTGGGGACTATTTTCAGCTGTAGAATTATACACAGTTGATATAAATCCACAGCAATTGGTTGTAAGATAGTGTATATGCAACTTAAAATTAACAGCAGTGCCCATATTTATAATAATGAAGCAACAGGTTAGTCGGTGTAATAATGTGGCTCACTGATATGTTTTAATAGTTTTAAGACAAAAATAGAGCTGATATAAGCTTTATCAGGCTTTAGCTACACAGACATACTTGACATACAGTAACATCAATTCATTGTTGGTTTTTGTCTTTTTGGGATATCTGTTGACAATGACAAAAAATAATAGAATATCACCAACCTTATCCTTTAATTGTTAATGGTGAGTATAACTTTTTTAAATGAACAAGTTTTTAGTGTTTCCTGTATTCAGTGTATTCTTTGGCATGTTACAAACATCTTCCTTGTCTTGGAAAAAGGAAGCCTTTGTGTTTACAGATGTGCAAGAAAAATGACACACAACTCACTACAGAATAAATTCTTCATGTTTAATACATAAGATGTTTACATAAGCATTCCTCTGTTTTGAAGTTATTTCAACAAGGTATTGCCCCAAATAAAATAAAAAAAATGGGCCAGATTATACTTTCAATATAATTCATTCATTCATTTTTCCAAATCTTTTCAAATATATTCCTGAGGACAACAGCATTTAACACCGGAAAGCATTTAAAATTTTACCCCTAAAGATTATTTTCCCCCTCCTTCAGTTCCATTCCAAAACAAGTGGAGCAAACACTCCTTTCAGCACAGGTTGGGCACCACATCACTGATCAGAGATCCATGTGTTGAAAGGATTCAAGAATTGTGGCTGTATTGGACAAGTGCACTGGATGTAGAATGGTACACGTCTCTAACCGAAGCCAGGAGTGATAACACTTCTGGTAACTATAAATATTATGTAAAAGTGTAAAAAAAAAAAAAAGAATACAAGGAGTGAAGAGTAAAGTATAACTACACATATTGCTGAAGTTTTCCCCTAAGTTACTGACACATGCAATCATGTGAATAATGTAAAAACATTGTGGATTGTGTATGTTCAGACTTGTCACCACCAGTAATAGCTGCCTCTGTGATTGACAGACTTTGGGACAATGACACAGCACATTTGTAGAAACAAACTTTGTGTAAGTTGTAATGACCATCAGCAAATGTCTATTATATTAAAAATATATATTTTAGATTTGACCATATAACTGAATTAATTTACTAGATTAAAAACTTGGCATGGTGCACTATGTGCTTCAAAATATTGTATAAAAGCAAATGATCTTTTTTTATTACTTTACAATTTGGGCTTTTAAATCTTTCTAAATCAAAGATCAACTTTACAAATATAACTAGGAAGACTTGCTGGGTACCTCTTATTAGACTGTAGTGTATGTTATGACAATGTACAACACTAATATACAGTGAAATGATGTGGCATTTGTGCTTTGGGCCCAGCTTTACACTATGATATTTCCCAAACTTATGACATAGTTTTTGACATTCTTAGGTTCTCTTTCTGTGTAAAAGTCCTACAGCATGTATCATATTATCTATTACAGGTATTAAAGAGGAATGTCTAACTTTAAAGATAAAATAAGGGAAATTCAAATACTGAATATTTGTTGGACCCTGACTAATACGACAAGTGCGTAATTTTGATCTTGTGCAAATACATGAACTCTGCTTACTCTGGGTTGAACAACAAGCAAGTGAAGTCTTCAACATCACGCTGAGAAAACTGGGCAAATTGCAAATAATCCTTGCTTTTATAGGAGTGGACTATATACAACACACTTGACCCGAAATCTCATAGAACTAATCACTACACAGCAAAAGAACGCACCTTCCTAGCAAAACGAATATGACATTCTTTAACACGACATTTACCCACTTCGCGGGACATTAAAGAACCTGAGGATGCCAGCATGCCGCTACCGACTTAAACTTGCTAGGAAGGCTGAGACACTGAGCCTTTGGCAAAAAGCACCGTCACATTTCTGCTCAGAGGAGAGTTGTCTTTTTCTTTTGTCGCTTTTTCTGACAATTGACAGCTGAAAACATTAAAACACAGATAGCTGAAAATGCTCTGATCCATTTCCCGGATGCTTTTTTCCCCTCTAACAATGCATTGGCCAGGGTTTGTAATTAGGGCAGCTCCCTCAGCTCTCCGGTGGCAATCAAAGTGTTTGTAATCACTCTATTCAGTTTCCTAATGGGGATTTCTGTAGACTGACTAGTGCATTTCAAAGAACCTTCCCTTACATTGTTTTTGTAAAGTAGCTTTGTAAAATTAGATAAATCAAAACAAGAAGTGGTTAATAAAGGCTTTTGAAACATCTGTCACCTGGTTTCCAATTCAGAGTATTGTACACTGTACAAATGCAGTGGACTGCATTAGACAGGTTTATGGTGTGTTTCTGGAGTTAGTCGGAACCCATTACATGTAATAAATGCTAGAGCCAAATTTCACCCGAAGGCTCCTGTCCACTCAATACAGTTCCTTTCAACATCCATTGCAAATGCGGGAAAATGGAGAGACACATATTCAGATATGATTCCCCAAACCCACAAAAACTGGCAGCAAATTTTCCGGGCTGGTAGAATAACATGGATATTTCACAAGGCCTGTCAAAAGAAGATCAGATCAAATGTGACGCCATTATTCTGAAGAATAACCTGAAGAAGAAGAAGAAGTTTCACCATCAACACATGAACGAGGAGTGCCACTGTAAATATTTTTTTTTTCTCATGGAGTGCTTGTTTTCGGGCCCAACTACACATGCAAAATGTCATATGCGCTCCAAATGTGCAGTGTCCTGCTGGGCCTGAATCATCCCTGAATGCTTTGACCAGTTAGTTGGTACCTGAAACAGTCAGTCAGTCAGTCAGTCAGTCAGTCAGTCAGTGGTTTCAGACAGTACAGTCAGTTAGACTGGCGGTCAGTTGAAATACAGTTCTTTCGTCAGCATAGAGACCACGCAGGGAATCTGCTTCTTCTCACTGAAGCGTGGGTCTTCAGACCAAGACTCAAAGCTGGTGGCCACCATGTAGTTGACCCGTGTCAGGATCTGCATTATCTCCAGCTGCTTGCCAAACTCGTTGAGGACGTTGCAAAGCGCCTGGACAAACCAGGAGCCGCGCCCAGGGTTTCTCCATGAGTAATACCCTGGAAAATCAACATGACTCAGCTCTGAAACGTGTCTCTGAAGGTTCTGCTCACTGATACATCCAGCATAGGAATGTTAAAGATACCCAAAATGCTTTTACTTCATGAGTAAACTGTAGTTTACCTGGCACTGTGGAGTAGGCAAACAGGAAATCTGCCTCTACAGGGATCTTATGTCTTGGATTAGCATCTGTCTCCAGGGTATCGTTTGGCGGACCCGAATCTGTCTGTATACCATCATCAAATTCGGAACCCCGACAAGCCTGGTGAAGTAAATGAAATGACATTTCATTGTGATCCTGAGTAGCTTTCTCAACGATGACCTGGTGAAGCAATTAAAAATTAACTGTTTTTAAAAGCTGAGATGGGCAATATTTTACACAATAACTAACATCTGTCCGTGGGGAGCTACTGAAAGACATTTTAATCTTTCTTCTCAACAAACATCAACATTTAACTTGTTAAAGTTAAAAGAAAATTCCATTCAACCCCTAGGTTGATTGTGTGGCTCAAAAGTGGTGAACTTGGCACAAATATGTATGTAAATTAGCAACTATAACATTGTTGTTACATAATCACACCGCAATCTACACATTAAAGTCTTCAGAACTTCGTACCTGGATGAAGAAGAGTTTTGGCTTCCCGACTAAGCTTTTGCACATGTCCCCCCTGAACAATGAGGTCATGGTCTTGATGGGCATGGCTCCGTCTGTTCCGTAGATCATGCCCTCCTCACCATGGCTTAGCAGGATACAGGCGAAACACGAGCTGTCACTATGGTCTTCCTCCGAGGCTGACCCATACACACACAGACAAACACTCAACTCTTAGCTCGGCTCAGGCCTCATTTAACGTCTAAATTAGTGAGCAATATCAGTAACTTAATCGTTCAGTCTGGAGTTCATTTAGCCCTTTATTCATTCATCTAGATTTTTGAAGAATTTGAAACTTTTTTAGTAATATACATTTTTGGTAATGGTGAAAATTAGTTACTATTAAGTATCTTCAAATATTACAGTAAGAGTTTACAATATACAGCCTCTAGATAGTTTCCTCAGAGGAATATAATGACTTTATACCCTTCAGCATATTGTTTGACCCAAACACATAGCTGTGTTCATCCCTTTAGGAGCATGAGCGCGCTGAGCAAATTCCACCGCAGACTGTCTACAAAGTTGAATGTTAATCAGAGGGTTGTACTAAAGGGAATTGATCATCTGCGAGGCAATACAAACAATGTTTGAGTCTTAAATTTCTTGTGTACTAATGGGAAATTTTGGTGCAATATTGATACCAGAGGAAAGGTCAAGGGGTCACCAAAAACAATCGGAGGGGACCATGAATAGCTATACCAAATTTCACATCCTGTAGTTGTAAAGGAACCTTGCTTTGGATGCAGTGTTGAATCGACCGTCTGACCTGAAAAAGAAACTGTCCGACTATCATCGCCAGGCCTCACTGGCCTGGACAAAATGTGTGTAGTCTAATACAATAGCAGCCAGTAAAATGTCATATTATATCATAATAAACAAGAAAATGAATTTGTGTTCCTAAATGCATATGAGGGTGTGTACTGTACTTGTACATCTTCTACTGAATCTAGCTGGTGGCAGTGACCAGTGACACCAAAGGTATTAACCTTAACTTAACACTTCAGACAGATTTATGTGAATACCTTTGCAACAGCACCACCTGCTGACCTGGCAGTTTTAGGAAACAAACACACTATGCCAATCATGAAGAGTCTGGAATATGAACTTGTGCATGCAGATCACACTGCAACTTAAAGGAGAATCAATTTCACTAGCAGATAGCTGTACTGTATATGAAAACTAATGAATCTGGTAGAGCTGAAAACAAATCTGTTATCTACATTAAACCAACCTGTTTGCAAAATATAAAGATGTCTATCTAGCGTTCTTTACGACCTACCTTAAAACTATATTATGTCCTTACACTCAGTTGCCATTTTATTAGGTACAGTTAAAACTGAGTCATATCCAACAATCCTGCAATAAATATCATATCAGTATCATAAAGGTAAGCATATTTTTGTTGTTTTATAGAGGTGTTGATTCAGTTTGTGGTGACTGTAGTTTGTGGTGATGCTGAATTATATTGTGTTATACTGAGAGGTGTTTGTCCACCCTATTTATATCAATAGCCAAAACAGAATAAAATTGCTCCATATAAACACCTGAATTAGACTGAACAGGTCCAAACTGTTTTTTTAAAACCAAAGTTTCTAATGGTTCCATAAGCCAATCCAAAGAGAAATGATAGCATGTACCGTGATTTAACCTGATCACTAAAATGACAGCTTTTGACAGGACAGGTTTTTGATACAAACTATTGGATGCTTATACGGTAGGAAAATAAGAAATAATGACCTATTGAAACAAGTCCCAGCTTTCATAGACCTCAAATGGTAGCCACTAACGAAGACATATGCATGATGGTTTCATAAGTTTTGCTCATGTCACACAGCTGTGTAGTAAGTGTAAATGTAACAGCAGCTACTGTGAGTAGGCTAAATATTTGAAACATCTCTCAATGTAACACAATACAAATTTACAAAAGCACAAACTAGAGCCTTTAACATGACCACAAAGTTGAATCAACACCACTCTCACATCACAACCTTCACAGAGGTAGAATTCAATGCAGGACTGGTGAATTAGACTGCATTTGTTTTGGCTAGATTTTTAAGACATGACTAGATAGAAAAACCTGTCCTCCATTTAGGAACTACCATAGCAGCATCCAGAAAAATCTTCCATGGCGTTTCCAAGAGGTTTCTGTATATATTGTTAGACAGTTAGTGACACGTGTCTTGAGCACTAACACAGAAAGACAGAGGGCTTCACTACTCACCCTCTCTGAGAAGACGCTCCATCTTCTCACATGTCTGATCATTGTAGATGAAGACATCGAAGCCCAGGCTCTTGAAGCATTTGAACAGCTCACCCGCGTCTCGGTCTGTGCCATTGCGTACATTCATCCCTGTCAAGATAATCTTCTTAGAACACACAATAATATTGAGCAAAATTGAAATAGGTGTACAGTGTGTTTAAAACATGTTTACCATACCTGTCTTCTCATCAAAGTTTTTGTTGTTGATGATGATACACTTGCCCACTCGCTGGTGGCTCATCTTATACTGGAATGTTGGTGAAACAATTCTGTAATGGCTTTCAGAAGAGTAGTCCTGCTCCCGCGTCTGGCCATCCTTATTCTTCTTACTACTAGAGTCAGAGAGAAACAGAATATTAAGGACAGCTGAACACATCATGGTAGAATTGTTAAAAATAAAAACTTACCACTAAACTTGTGTAATATAATTTACTGTTGAGCTGTATGTAATGCAAAATCTTTAAGGTCAGCAGATCTTTTCAAAAACTGCTCCTTGTGTGGATATTTCTACATTACTGTCTTTAAGACCTTACACAAAAACAACAAGCAAATAAATGAGTAATTAGTAGTAATAGGAAGGATTTGAATTTACACACCCACACCAAACCTTTCAGATGCTACAATTTAGAAAACATCTTCAATTAGGCCCATTAGCGCAGTTAAAACATCCATAATGTTAATTCTTACCTTACAGAGCACCATCTTGCAAATGAAAAGTTTTCTAGAAAATATTCTTTACTCTTACTGAACATGATGGTGTCTTTTAAGCCAAAATGTTTCTACACATAACGGTTCCTTCAAAATAATCAAATGGCAAGACTTCCAATGCAAGGAAAACTCATATAAAACTGAAAACACTCTGAACCACTTACTCAGAAATCAAAGAGTACATACATTGTCAAATAAGGCATTAATGTCACAGCCAAATTTGGTCGCAGTAATCCACCATCGGGTTAAAGAAGAAACTAGAACATTGTTGCGTAGCGCAGATATTAGAAAATCATAAGCACATCAATGTAGATTGAGCGAGAGCAAATCTTCCATGAGTGGCAATTCTCACAGACCTGTCATATTTCCATTCTTCCAAAGATCCATCCAGATAGCTAAGCCAACAGTGGCCCATGGGGGGCTCAGAAAATCCAGGCTTGTTCCAGAAGAGCCTAGTCATCAACTTACTCAAGCACAGGAACAATACACAGCAATGTGCACTAACAGTCTCATGCACATACACTCACAGGCAGCCCAGCCATATTCTAATAAACATGTGATCCAGAACTTTTTGAAGCCCCCCTCCCCCCTCCAAATTGTGCTAACATACAGTACCAAACAATTGCGCGAGGGTGGGCGAAGAGCTGCAACTCTGTTTTGCCATGGGGTGGGCATGGCAGAAAGAGGAGCAGGTAAGAGGACGGTGAAGAGGAATATGAGGTTGGTTATATCTCTCTTACCTGGGTTCGTCATTAAGCGCTACGCCACTCTGCATCTGAAATGCGTTGGTTCTGTCTCGTTTCTTTTTTTCCCCCAAAAGAGTACGTTTCTCCAGACCTGGCAGCTTAATTTTTGGCTGTGTGCTAGGATGTTGACATGCTCTCTGTACTGGATGGACACCTGACTGGGCCAGCAGGTGCTGAGGACAGGGGCGGTGCACTGTGAGCCCCCTGAGTCAGCAGCCTCGCCACCACACCAGTGCTTTCTAAAGGCCTATTCACACATGGCCCCTGCGCCTCGCTCCCTGCTGAGGTCAGACAGGGCAACAAGTTGCTCCTCTGCTGACAGGTACAGAATCCACCTGTACCGACATACATACCTGATCGCCTCAACTTTAGAGTTGGATGCGCAAGACAATAATGAATTACTAAGAAAATAAATAATAAGTAATGTTATCCTTACAATCTTATATTAATATTACGGTATACACAATTCCTTTACACATGACAGGCTTGACTTAAGAGGCATCACAATTTGATCTCTTCGGTCACGCCTTCTTTCAAAGAAAATGACACACACTTGTATTGTAGATAAGGTAGTTTCAGTTTAATGTAATACTTCTAAATATAGTCTTTGCTATCAGGTAGTCAGTCAAGTGGTTATTGCAAAGCACATGCCATTCAACACCATTAGGCATGTGGCATTTACACATTAAATGCATGCCAATTTCTTAAACTCTGTCATACTTTGTCTTTAAACATTTCAGCCTGTTTTAGGTATTTTTATTTGTTTGAAATTGAAAATCTATTTTTGTGGCTTTAAGTAAAAAAAAAAAAAAGTTAATTTATGTTATGACAGTTTGGGGGAAAAAATCTAAATGGCACACAAAGCACACAGGCTTTGTGTTTGATTACCAGTGTCTGGGAGAAACCAAATTGTTCCCCCACTACAAAGGTTCACAGTGCCACCTTGTGAGTCAGACTGGAATAAACAGAGGATAGTCACTCATGTAAGTCAGCGATGCCTTGGTCACACTTTAATAAAGACAAAGTGAGACACAAGCCATTGTGAAAGGGCCTGCACTCCATGATATCATACTCAATTCACATATACATGATTGACTGTAGTACAGTCTAATTTTGAGCAGCCACTTGAGGACTGACATCAGTCCCAAAATTGAGTTTTAAGATTGCTTTCACACGCGACACCCGATTACACTAATTAGGCGGTCCAAAACTGGGTTGCTGTGTCAAATCAAGGGTATACATTTTATAATATTCATTTTAAAGTTTTCATTAGTTGAGGCTTAAGAGGAACCAATGCCACTGACATGCACCAAGAATTCACAGTCTTAATGAAAGTGCACAGTTGTGTGATTCTTTGTGTAACTGGTCTAGTAAATAAATATGCATGTCCGTGAACATTTAGTTTATTTAGGAGCAAAATGAGCAATTATAATATGAGAAATTAGAAAACAAATCAGAGGATAAAACAGTAAACTGTACCAGGGGTGAAAACGGGGACAAAAGGAAAACCCAGCCACTAAAGACAATTAATACTTGCAGCTGCAGTCACATAATGTAAATCTGAGTATTAAACAGCCTTCTCAGTGAATTAAAATAAATTAGAACAAAAGGCAAGTAACACAACCAAAATAAACACATATTAGGCCACAGAAGATAGTTTGATGAACAACCCTTGTTGTTATAGACCTCCTGTATTTAAATACACTGGTGAGGATAATAATGAAAGTGAAAGCTATAGTAAAACATCACCTAAAGTGAATTTGAAGTGAATTAAAATCCTAAAAAACTATAAGTTACCCCTCATGGATGTATGGGGTTTCCCTCTGCAGATATATTGAGTACGCCCAAAAATAAGAAATAAAAGGAAGTCACCTCCCAAACAGCAGAAATCTCCCTCTGCGGTCAGGTTTGGCGTCTGTTTCGTCTCCACTCAGCTTCCCTCCTTTCTCTTCATCTCCCAGTTCAATTGGCTCAGCAGGTTCTCCGGCCATCTGCAACTTATAATATAATAATATATATACATAACACACGTATTCACACGTTTAGCTTCACTTACTGTACAGCTGTACCGGCGTGGCTAACGACAACGTCGCTTTAACTTAACTTCATTTCCTTATTGCACATCACTGCTTAACGTCAACACTGCTTTTTGCAAGTTTAAAAGTCGCATGAACAAAGCTTGCTCAGCTCTAAATTGAGAGACAGTTTCATCACCAGCTTCATAAAATCTTGTTAGCTCAACAGTTAAGTTAACCGAGTGTCTCATTAGCATATAAGGTAGCCGAAAGAAAAATCTGAGTTAACTACAAACACATTAGCATGAACTTACACTCTGTATTACGCTGTGTCAACGTAACTACTACACAAAGATTGCCTGTGGGTTGTTTCTCCTTCTCCACAGTTTTCACCGAGCTAGTTTCTGTTCCGTAAGAAACAAGTTGACAAAGTGAAAGTAAAATCCAGATTTTAAGTCTCTGAGGTGCGTGATTGCGTCAGAGCCCTGCGTCGGTCAGGTCTGCCACGTTTGATACATTAATATACAAAGAGATTTAAATAAAGTCCCCACAGTTTATTCAGCATATCAGGTTTGATAAACAGCTATAATGATCCGAGTATAGACAATTAAAGCATTTATATATATAAAAAACTATTATTAAAACAGCTGGTCCATCAGAAAAAGAGAGTAAAGAAATGCTCCATTTTATGGCCATCACACTCACTTTTTGGAGAAAACATATTGTAGTGTTTTTTAACTTTGGTATTACAGGGTTATTACCTATTTAAAACCCTGTGATGCAGTTTTTACAAAATTACAATTGGATCAACAGATAGATGAGGATTTATCTGAATTTGCTCTTATGGATCTGACTGTGTTGTGACACTAAACAGGTGTTCCTGGCCCCTGGTGTATGTCCACAATAAATTCAAGAACTCAAGGCACATCCTCTTTATGTTCATCATTGTGGATAGAGCTGTGTTTCTACTTAACTTTGTTGCCTTTGTTTAGTTGTTATGTCTATATTTTCTTCTTGTATGTCCATATTTCATCCTGTGCACCTGTCCTTGACACTTTTTTTGTAAGTATATGGAGAGCCGCTAAAAACCAGAGTTAAATTCTTAACATACTTAGCTGATGAATGTAAGTAAGACTAAGTAAAAGTATTACACAATGTATTACACTTTTATGTCTAAGTGTCATGGCAACATGCCCAAAGTTGAACCAGCTGTCCAACTCAGGAGCATTACACATACAGTGACATCTGAACGCTCTGTCTCTCTCTCTCTCTTCCTGCAGACAGACAGCTGGACTCAGCCAGTCCCCTAGCCTGACATGGAAGGGGGTTGGACCATTATAGGACATGGTGTCAAGTAAGAGAGAGTTTCAAAGATTGACTGTCACAGAGCTAAGTTAACCACCACCAGAGACGCACTATCACGACTGTCTGGGGGTCACTGCCAGTTCCTCCACTAAACTGCTGCCTGACTGATCGACCTGACTCTTGTTTTCAGCCAGCCAATTTCACACTTGTTTTTTCTCTTCCGATATTTTTCCTGAAGGTTTTCACCACTGCATTCACCATGCAGTCCTGTGCCAGGTGTGGGTTTGTGGTCTACCCAGCTGAGAAGATCAACTGCATTGACCAGGTAACATAGAAATATTGTTTCTAAACTGTATTATTACTTTTCTATCATCTTCAGTTCTTACATAACACATCTGTCAAAGTGTAAAATTGTTATTAAAATTTGAGGCATTTGTAGATGTAGATGATTGCTATAGATTATGTGTTATAGAAAAACACAAACAACCTACACATTCAAGCTATTCCAAGTATTTCTCTGCATCAACGGCAGCACATGGCTCAGTGTACAAAGATCTGCCAATAAACTACAGTTTAAAAATACAAAAAGTTTATATAGAATTCTTCTATTCTTCTTAATCTAACATTTTTAATATGATATGTCTCTAAGTACATGTTTGAACTAAAAACTAAACTAGTAATAATACATTACAAAAGAAAGATTTCTGTTTAAACATACTGATTACTGCGTTGTTACCTCTGCACCATGAGAGGTTTAAAAGTCCCATAAAAGCTATATTTGAGAACAAGTCAGCAAGTCTAGTTTGAAGATCATGTTGTGATTGCCGGTGTTATTTTGGGCCTTGTACAATTGAAGCTTATTAATCTGATGTCATATCAGAAATTACCTGTCTAAGTTTAAATATTGTTTCCACACAATAAACTAGACTGAAGTCATGTTTCCGAATTTAGAGTTCAGTTTTAAGGACCCTCTGAAATAATGTAATTTGTCTTTTTCTCAGAACTGGCATAAAGCATGTTTCCATTGTGACATCTGTAAGATGGTGCTTACTGCCAATAACTTTGTTAGCCACAAGAAGAGGCCATACTGCTCTGTGTAAGTACTATAATAACGCCTTATGATATAACATATTATCTGAGTATAATCCCAAAAACGGATGACAAATCTATCTTAAAAAGCCATTTTTTGTGTAAAATAGATACACCCTTTTCCCCATTTGTTTCCATGAACTCAAAATTCTTGATTAAAATGATGACCACCTTTATATCTCAACCCTCCAGACACAATCCAAGGAACAACACGTTCACAAGTGTGTACGAGACACCCGTCAACATCAATGCGAAGAAGCAAAGCAAGGCGAGCAGTGAGGTACGATGATGTCATACGCAAAAACACACAAGCAGCAACACGAGACAAAGTATTTCGCCTTGATCTGAGTCAGGGCGCATTGTTGACAGGCTGACATAAGTCTCTGTCTATGCCATGAGTGAAATGGTCATTTATCATTGGGTTGTCATGACTGGGTTAACACTGGAGAATGCTATTCATGGTCGTCATTGTGTTGTGTTTAGATCATCATCAAGGGATTGATGCACACATTACAATTTAATTTAAATAAAGCTAAATTTGTAATAGTATACCAATAATATATAATTTAGTACAACGTTATTTTCACACACACAAAACCACTGGTAACCTCACAAATGACTCTTTATTTTATTTATTAACCTACAAACACACATGCAATCAGAAAGCACACGACCCTAAGCAGACACGTCATTACTATCAGAAAAAAAAGATCTGATTCCTCCTTTAATGGATGGAAGAGAGAGAAAAGGTGGAAGGCTGCTCTGAGTCCACGGTGACGGCAGCGGTGAGGAATGGAGAGTGCTGCTCAGGTTATTTCTGTTCATGTGACAGAGGCGAGAGACAACCCCCTCTGCTTAGCCCGCTTTATGCTTCAGGGGGCTAAAATTATACGTCAGGAAAAACAGCCTCACATCCCTTCCTCTCCTCTGCTCTGCCACCTGTTCCTGCCTGTCTGTGTGTCTGTCTGTGTCTACGAGTTCATGCAATGTTCTTCGGCTTATATTAGCACTAGGCTAGCAAGCTCATCAGCTACTGCTAGATGCCACTAGACAGCTTTGGGACTTAACTTGTTGATATTTGATCTGAGGTCTGATTCAGACCATGCTGAGTGACCCTCAGCACTGTCCACTAAACACTTTGGGTAACACGCAGAGTTTTTGCTTTTATTATTTACTTAGTGTTACCTGACTTGTTTTCAGTGAGTTTTTACAATTTAAAACATACTAAAAGTTTTGAAAGTTGTTACACATATGTTTCTCGTTAGCCCTTCAGCGCTGATGCTCCAGAGAGGTCACTCTTATCCCCTGCAACACGGCTATTCTAATATTAGTTTTGAACATTTTTACAGCTTAAGGATCATTAGCAAACAGCTCAGAGTTTCATCACTCAGTGCTCCTTTCTGGATCTTTCTTGGCAGGTCCAGCTTTATCTTGATTAGAACATCTCAGTTATTAATAACAGAGCTCTAATATTATCCCTCCAGCATTAAGCATGTGAGCTCAAGTTGACAACATAAGAATAGAGGGATGTTTGCCTGATCTGAAGTCAGGTTGATATCAGTCAGAGCTGACAGTTTTTTTTTTTCTTGATTCATGCATGTGTTTATAGTATCCAGCTACCGAAGTGGATTCTGTAAACACATGTCTAGTGTGCGCATGTGCAAATGTGTGCTGGTCTTGGCTTAATGCTTGTCGTCTATATGCACTTGTAGCTGAAGTATCGCGAAGACGGTGAGCGCTTTATGTCCACCTTCCACCATGACATGAGGTCCATGGAGCTGGAGAAGGCTCGTCTAGCCAATCAAATGGTCAGTCAGGTGAGCTCCCAGTAGAGCAACTGGCCATTACACCCAGTTAAAGGGAGTTCCAGCACAAATTCTGATCTTTCCTTTTGCATATATTTAGTATATATAACAAACAATCCTACTTCTGTACCTTTTTCTTTCTCCTACCCTTGACTTTCTTTGTAAACAGCAAAGTTATTGTGTGCAGTGATCCCAGGTTTTCATTCAAATAATCATTTTTTAATCATTAGTGATCATGGAGGAGAGTTAGTCAACTAACTTATTTTACTAGACTGTAACAATGTCATCTTCACTCTGTTCTATTTTGTATGTACTTTGAATTTGGTCAAATCTTTTGTTTCTGTCGACAACAAAGCTGTGCAAACACAGATTTATTTCATGTCAATCATATCATATATAGAGGCTAAGTAAACCAGAGAAGAAGTATTTGAAAAAGGCCCTAAAGGCATGAAAGATACAATGTGGCCTGTCTCGTGAATGTCTGGAAATGGTTTGTCTTCCATATTTCAAACAGGCCTTTCAGTCGAAGTCTGAGTTCTCACAGCAGCAGACATGGTACTCAGGCATGGTGACCAACCAGGAGATAGTGACGATGTCTCAGGCCCAGAAGACCATCAGTGATGTGAGCATACATCTTTTTATTCCTCAACGCTTTCATTTTATAAAACCTAAATATGGGGTTATAGTGTCTTTAAATAAATAAAGTGGTACTTAAAATAAATAGAACTATTTTGCATCCATAGAGGTCAAATGCCCTGAATGATTGATTTTATTGACTTTGGCAGGTGAAGTACACAGAGGAGTATGAGCAGTCAAAAGGAAAAGGCAGCTTCCCTGCCATGATCACACCAGGTTACCAGGCTGCTAAACAAGCCAATACTTTGGCCAGCAACGTAAGTTGGTATAATTTATAGACTAGATAGACCAAAATTTAAACAGTCACAATTCATGTTTAAGTTAATTGTTTTCTCTTTCTTCAGTTGGAATATAAAAAAGGACACGAGGAGAGAGTTTCAAAGTACACCACATTTGTTGACCCCCCAGAGGTGCTTCTGGCCAAGAAACAAGGACAAATTGTTAGCGACGTAAGCTTTAAGCCTTTCATGATCACTTTATAATACTGAGTATGTTTTATTTCATTTATATGACGAGATGTTATTGATAATACCTTAGAAGTCTTTTTCACTTAACAGAATCATTGTTTTTTTTCCCTCCAGTATGCCTATACAGAAGAGTATGAGCAGCAGAGAGGCAAAGGTAGCTTTCCTGCACATCTTACACCTGGATACAAGATATCAAAGAAGGCCAGTGAGCAGGCCAGTGATGTAAGTAGATACAATATAAAAATGTACACATATGCATACAAACACTGTTACAGAGGTCTGATCATCGGTTGGTAATGGTTTTCATGTCCTACCAGATAAAGTATCGTCAGATGTATGAACAAGAGATTAAGGGTAAAGCCAGCACTGAGGCAGCAGCGGCTGAAGCAGTTCATGCCAGAGAAAATGCAGAGAATTTCAGCCAGGTAAGGAATATACTGGTACTGTTTTATTGGGTTTAAGCCTCTAGTAAAACCACTTATATGTTAGCCAGCCTCCTGGGATTCACACCCAGGGTGTTGGCCTTCACCTTATCCCATACGATTTAATTTGAACCCACTAAACGCTTTTAGAATATAGTTTATGCAGTTTATTTCTACTACTATTTTTACACTTGATTTGAATGGATTAAGTTATCCTCTGTTTGCAGATTGCCTATACCGAGGAGTATGAGCAGCAACGAGGCAAAGGAAGCTTTCCTGCCATGATCACTCCTGGTTATTATCTTGCCAAGAAGGCTCAGGAAAACGCTAGTGATGTGAGTATCAACCTGACAGCAGTAGGCTGTAGGCCCTTCATGAGACATCACTGCATCTTGAGTTTAAAGTAGTTGGAAGGTCTGTTTGCTGAGCAGTTAAAAAGGGACCCTGTATCAAATGTGTAACCATGTGAACTGGTTGTAAATGCCATCAAAACATTACAGAGTGTAGAGTGTAAGGCCTGGCCTTGTCATCACTGGACCAAATAGATGAGGGACTACGTCGAGAAAGCCTCTCCATGTTGTCATTCTTAAAACTTTTCACCCTGACTAAATTAGACTGTGCGTGTGCATGTGTGTACAGCTAATCTCCTGATCCTACAGACATACAACATACATGTTGTCCTCCTATACATGTATGCACTAAATCATCTTTCATCTCTTTGCAGCTAAAATACAGGAAGGACGCGAACAAAATGAAGGGCACCTCACACTTCCATAGCCTGACATCTGAGGACAATCTGGCTCTAAAGAATGCCCGAAAGATCAACAAGATGGTCAGCGAGGTGAGTTTGTCAAGCTCTCAAGGCAAAGACCCGACCTTCATACAGTATATTTGTCTTTTATCTTATTTATAGCTTTATCCAGGAAGTCCAAGAAGTTGGTTTTATAAATATGATCAGTCTAAGCTAAAGTTTTTGACAAATACAAATGTTGTTGCTCAGTGCATGTGTGTTTGAGAGCTAGAAATATTGGGCATACTATGTCAGTTTCCAGTAGACACAAAGCCACCTAACTTGCATTTTTAGCATTTCTGAAGTGCCTGTCAGGTGGAGTTACAGCTCACCTACAAGGCCACAGGACATCCCATCAAACTAATGTTACCTCACACACGAACACGGTTCATCACTCTTGAGCAACTATTCTGAGCCTTGGGAATATGACATCTAAATGTGAGCTATTAGCATCTATTCTGAGCCTTGTCTTCCACTAAAAACCATGCTGAGACATTATTCAACCACAGTAGCTTTTGCTTGTCTGTGAACAATGTTCCGATTTAGCTTGAACATTTAAAGGTGACAAAATTCTCCCTGTGTGGTATTTGTGTTAAAGAGACTGACAAGTTAAATGGTGCCTTGGTGTCATTGTTCAGCTCAGCAAAGCATATTTAAGATTAGAGGTTTGTCTCATTGACGTTTTTGTTGCGATGGAGTGTCTGTGATGGTGACTGATTCGTGGCAGGCACTTTATATTTAGCACATAACATGTTGTCACAAAGGATCAACTCTGACCGTTGGACAACAAGAAAACAGGGGTTGAAATGAAACATTTCTTACCAAGCAGCTGCTGTAATTTTTCCTATTTTCTAACAGGTGGAGTACAAGAAGGACTTGGAGAATACTAAAGGTCACAGCATCAATTTCTGTGAGACGCCACAGTTTCAAAATGCTGCCAAAGTTGCCAAGTTCACAAGCGATGTAAGTATGACATACCTTATTTTACATTATTGTTCTCATACATTTACAAAAGAAAATACCTATGAACCCTTAAAAACATGGAGTACAACTAACCTACAATATTATATGTTTGGCCCACTGTATGTGTCATAAAGGTCAATGTGTGGATATTATGGTTATATTAGAGTCCTGCATACTGATTTTTCTTCATCTTTCTATATTTTTAAAGAACAAGTACAAAGAGAAGTACACCAGCAATATGAAGGGTCACTATGAAGACTCAGGCATCGATAAGAAGACCATGCATGCCATGAAAGCCAGGAAACTGGCTAGTGATGTAAGCCTCATTTTTTAATGGATTTAGCATACTATGGTAATGCAGTTTTAGATTTATGCATATAGTATATTAGAAATCAGTATTGTATTTATTATCTAATATATGGACAAATGTTTACTTTAACTAGTGGTTGATACGGGTTGAATAATGAAATGAAACAAAGTAGATCAACTGCTATGCCAGTAATATCACAGACATAGTCTTCTTGTCAATTCCAGATTTCTTATAAACAAGGCTGTGAACAGGAGCAGGGTGAATACAACTACCCAGCCACCCTCACACCAGGCTACCAAAGCCAAAGGAAGCTGGACCCACTGAAAGATGTGAGTTCTCTCAAACAGAATTTAAGCCTTAAGTGTCATTATTTTGTGTCAATATGTAGCTTATATGCAAATTACATTACTATTACAATGAATCATATTTTCTCATCTAGGTGATACATTTATTAATTGTATAAATTGTTTCCTATATGACTGCAGAAGAACTACAGGCAACACATTGACCAGGTCAAGTACAGTCCAGTGACAGACACACCTGAGATTGTTTTAGCAAAGAAAAACGCTCAGCTTGTCAGCAATGTAAGTAAACTGCAAGGGTTGATAGAGATCACACCAACTACATCAGAACTTTTCAACTGCATTCATTGTATGAATAAATTGTATGATTTATTGTATGAATGTGTTTTTCTTTTTTCTTTTAGCTAAATTACAAAGCAGGCTATGAAAAGACCAAACATCAGTACACACTATCTGAGGACCTGCCCCAAATCAAAAACGCCAAAGCCAATGCTGCCTTGTGCAGTGATGTAGGTTGCACACTTCATATGCACACTTTGAGTATGCATGTTCACATCTGAGCTTATTTACATGGTCAGAAAAACTTCCCATGCTTCAAAGTGAGTGAACTAAATTTATCACTTTATTATCACAGATTAAATATAAGGAAGAGTGGGAGAAAACCAAGTCTAAAGCCTGTGACATCGGTGTGGACGACCTGAGTGTCAAAGCAGCAAAGGCTTCCCGTGACCTCGCCAGTGATGTAAGCAAGCGCACACTCCTAACCCACTGCGATGAGATACAGTATAGTGAGACCCAGCAAAATGCTAAGTGGGTTTAATATGATAATTAAGTCAGCCGGGCATGTGTTTCAGATTAAATACAAAGAGACGTACATGAAGGACAAGGAAAAGGCAGTGGGGATCAACATGAGCGACTCCAAGACTCTGCACTCTCTGCAAGTGGCCAAGATGAATAGTGATGTAAGCTTCATATAACACAAAACAGCATATCTGCACATACTTCCTATGCACTCATACACTCAAAATTAAAAATGTTTTGAATCGTGATCACTTCAGATTAAGTACAAGAAGGGCTCCAAGGAGAGCCAGGGCAACTACAGCCTTCCTCACGACATGATTAACCTGAGCCATGCCAAAAAGGCTCAGGCCCTCGCCAGTGACCTGGAATACCGCACAAAGCTGCATGACTACACCGTCATGCCTGATGACATCAAGGTCCAGCAGGCCAAAAAGGCTTATTCTCTGCAAAGCGAGGTGAGAGACGAGAGGAAGGGATGAGCCCTGGTCTGTTATTCAAATGGCAATAGAAAATGTTTTAAATATTTTCCCCATTTTGTTGCTTCACAGAACCAGTACCGCTCAGACCTGAACTGGATGAAAGGAGTGGGCTGGGATTCCGAAGGATGTATGAACATCACCCAGGCCAAGAAAGCTGGAGAGCTGCTTAGTGATGTCAGTACAATTATGTGTTTATGTTATGTACATATTTTTGTTTGTTAATAAACTTTACATTGTATTAGGTACACTATTTATCTACTGGGCTTTTTCTCACAGACTAAATACAGACAGAAGGCAGACAGCATTGGGTTCACCCATGTGGCAGACGATCTCTCCATCAAACACGCCAAGAAGAGCCAGGAACTGCAGAGCGACGTACGGTCTTTACTGTAAAAGCTGTGTGTAAACGAGTGCATTTAATTACTGTGCACTTTCACATCATATGTCTATCTGATTCTTATTTTCAGCTGGCGTACAAAGCAAACACAGAGCAGATCATACACCAGTACACCATGACAAAAGATGAGCCTCTTTTCAGACAAGCAAAAGCTAATGCTGACCTTCTCAGTGGGGTAAGTTCAGAGAATTTCATCGCAATGAGCAGCTTCATTATGTATCATACTCATAAATACTTCCAAGATTATCAAAGTGGGTAGCTTCACCTTTGCAGTTCTAGTGACCTGTAAAGAAATACGTTTAAACGTTGTTCTAATCTGTTGAACTGTAAAATTTAGTTTTCTTTTCTGATGAAGATATGGGGTGTACTTCAGGCTTCAGTGTTTAGATCGGTTTGTCCTTGCAAAGATTAGATTAGGTTTGTCTATCAAGAAAATGAAGTACAGTAGGGTGTTTTTGAACTGCAGTGATGCTCCCTTTCATTTACATGCTACGTTCATAAAGAATACACAAGACAGTAGCAGCCTTGTTTCTTGGCGTCATGCCTCTTGGGCTGGTCTCAGTGCTGCAGTAGAGTTTTCCATGATGATGTGCTCATACAGTACATTTGAGTGACCTGATCCTGGTCCAGTGTGGTCCGTTCTCAGAAAGATTAATTGATCTAAATCATTTTTAAAACGAACTTCAAATCTTCAACGCAGGATTCTTGTAACTTTTCTTGTAAATTTAGTGTTCCCTTACAGCACAAAATAAACTTGATTAACTGAGGACTTAGTCCATTAAATAGACATTAGGAAAATTTGATTAGTATTGAAAGTCAACCAAATTGGCATAATCCACTTTAAATGTTTAGACGTTTAATTGACATAAGACTCAAACAATGTTTGGCACAAAAAAGTAATTCATGGCCAGTTTGTCTTGCATTTAAAGGAAGTCCCTTCACGAAATTGTCTATTACTGGTGTACGGAAGACGTACTGTGCAACTTTATGTCCTGTTTTCAGAGAAGTACAGTATGTTGCCACACATACTACCACACCACAAATCTACATTTTCTCATTAAGAAACTTTTGTGACTCATCCAAAAGTCTCATATCCCTTGAGTTTATGATAAATCTGTCTGAAAACCAACTTTCAAAATTTGTCATCATTACATTTTGTTTTTTATATAATCAACCGATGTAGAAATCAAATGTATTTTTGAGATGGAGATTCACAATATTTCTGGTGTTTCTGTCTGTGCGACTGCAATGTAATACATATCTCTACTACTCTATTTTGACTTTTAGAAAGTGTACAGGAGCAACTGGGAGAAGCAGAGGGAAAAGGGCTTTGAGCTACGTTTGGACGCTCTCTCTATACTCACCGCTAAAGCCAAAAGAGACCTGGCCAGTGATGTGAGTTATTCTAAATAGCCTGCATCTTCAATGTTGGCCTGAGGAGACAAATTTTATTTTTGTGCAATAATGTATTATTTATCATGTATTTGAACTTGACAATGTTAACAAACTTGGGACATGGACTGGCTCAACCACTGATATCTTATCTCCTTGCAGGTCAAATACAGGGAGAAATATGAGAAAAACAAAGGCAAGGTGATTGGCATTAAGTCCAGCAGTGATGACTCTCAGATGGCCCACTCTGCTCTGGCCACCAAACTGCAGAGTGACCGCAACTACAAGAAGGACTATGAGGAAACTAAGGCCAAATACAGGTGAGACTCTTTGCCTTTTTTCCAATCCTGGTCCAAGAACACCAACATTGATCTGATCAGGGATAATATCACACATCAGACACCAAATGAAAACAGTTAACTGTAGTTGTAAAGCTGGTGAGTTAAGCAGTCATTAATTGAACTGATCTGATTTAAAGCTGGTTTAATGTCAAAGGAGACAAAAGTTATCTGTCTCTGCTGTATGTGTCCTTGACATACTGTGTATGTTGTGATGAGCTCTGAAATTCCTAAAGGATGTTTTCTAAAATATGTTTTTAATTCAAAAATAAAGGTTAGTTTTAGAAGTACAAACAGACTCACTATCATAGATATCTTCCTAAAACACATTGCAGAGGTAATGTCTGGCTTATTAGCAAATTACACTAATCAGCATTGTGGCCAATAATCAGTCATGACAGCAGTCAGATAACACAACACATAACAGATACAATAGTCATTTGCTGAGGCAGAAGACCACACAGCCCTTCACCTTGATAAAGATAAAGTGCTTTAGTATCCTTCTATTTAAGAGAGAATGACTCCAATAACCAAAGAGCACTGATCCAGCATAATACTGTAAATCTGGACTTATATCTTGTGTCATTTTGGAACAAAACTCTTCTTTTACTGTATGAAATGAATCTCGTCCCCAGTGTTCATCTGGATATGCTGAACATCAGCCATGCCAAGAAGGCTCAAGATCTGGCAACCGAGACCAACTACAGGACTTTCCTCCATGAGTATACGACTCTGCCAACTGACATGAATGTTGCCTGGGCTAAGAAGGCCTATGATCTGCAGAGTGATGTAAGTCTCATTGTTGGATGTCAAAATAACAACTTGGGATTCATTAACTACAGGACTGACTGAGGTGAAATTTGTGTCCATATCCAGAAACAGTACAGGTCAGATCTGAACTGGATGAAGGGAGTCGGCTGGGAGGCCTCAAAATCTCTGGATGTCCAGCAGGCGAAGAAAGCCGGAGACCTCGTCAGTGAGGTAATCTATGACCCAGAATGCATTCCTGGAATCAGCTGCAAGTTAAGGGGTTAAATAGTTGGTAATGTTAAATAAAAAAGAGAAATGGCAACACTTACATGGTTAAATGCTAAGCCACAGCAACAGCGTGTTTCTTTCCTTGGCCTTCATTAACATTTCCCTCATTTGTGGTAGTTGTATTGGACTCAAATGTAATTTAAACCAATTATCAATCAGTGTCTGAATAACCACACTTAAGTGCTATTAATAACTGAATTATTAGCGCAGAGAGCATGAGAAAGTGATAAGCATGATTGTGTAACATGTGACTGAAAGGCACATACTTAGATTTACAGCTGAGGTCAGAATGTATTTAAAGACCTGCGGACCGTTTCTGTTCTCCAGAAACTGGGTTAAGTACGTGGACTACACCCAGCTTTAACAAGAGACCCGGCTGATAATAGTGAAGCTGTCACATATAAAAAAGACTCATCTTCACTAATTAGGGCTCCCTCTTTCCTCGTTTCTTTCTCTTCACCAAATTAATTAGGTTTGTGGGTCCACATTGCTTACACTGAAATATTACATCAGGGTTTTTTTTTTGAATGGTAGATTAGGAAACACATGCATGTCATTTGTGCTACCCAGACCCTCTAAGGGGAAAGATGTGAAGCATCCCCCCATTAACACCAAGTGTCCAGTTTCCTAAAAGCTTCTTGGGGCCCAGATCTTCTTAGTTCAGTGGGTGCATGATTAGGAAACAGGGCCAAAAGGCAATATTATGGAAACTTCCAAGCTCTGACATCTCAGCTGTGTATGAACCTTGGTAATGTAATATGTATTAACAAATGCGTAGGGGGAAAAATCCTTTGAGACTACAGATATAACAATCTAGCCTTTAATTAAGCAAGGGTCACGGTATGGTCATAATTTTGTAGTATTTAAAAAAATTAAACTTCCTATCCACAGCCTTTTTTCATAAACACTTCTTTCTAAATGCATGCAAACAGTACATAAAAATATTTCTGTGACACAGCTAGTGCAGACTGGCAACCCCAGACTCTATTCATAACCTGTTCATAAGCAGCCACTTATTTTGAGGGTCATTCCAGTCAGGGATACCAACATTAGACCATGAAATGCCTGACTGCACATAAATAGAACAGAGCCCTAAGCAGACTTCTATGTAACTATGTATCTACTGTACATTTGTCTAATCTACAAAAAATACTAGTTTTTTTTTGTTGCACTTTGCCTGGCAGTTTATTTGTTCTGTTTGTGATCATTTTGTGCCCTCCACTGTTTATCAAATGCATGCGCACCCGTTTGTTTATGGTTTAATCACATTATAACTGTCTGTTTTTTTATGTTTTTTTTTACTAAATCTAGAAAAAGTATCGTCAGAACGTAAGTGGTCTGAAGTATACCAGTGTTGAAAACACTCCAGAGATGATGCAGGCCAAAGTCAGCAACAAACTAGCCGTTGATGTAAGTTCAGCTGTCATTTGTGCTCTCAGTCATTTGTTTAATGCACAAGATACAATAGGCAGTAAATCTGATGTATTTGTTTCACATACAAATATTAACATAGTATGTCTAACTGCACTGATGGCCTCTAATAAATACTGTATATATGAGGCTTATAATGCCCTACTTTCGTGTTTACAGAGGTTGTACAGGGAGAAGGGTGAAAACATGAAGCACAACTACACGCTCAGTGGAGAGCTGCCTGAGATGGTTCAGGCCAAGCTCAATGCTACAAACATCAGCGAGGTAAAACCACATTCAGAAAACAAAAACAGCCAGTCAATCCAACCACTCAGCCACCTGTGTGTGTGAGGTTTTCCACATCTTTATGCATCTGCTGTGTGAATTTTCAGAGCCGTTACAAGGAATCTTGGACAAAGATACGTGACGGTGGTTATAAGCTGCGTCTGGATGCCATTCCTTTCCAGTCTGCCAAAGCATCTGCAGAGATCCTCAGCGATGTGAGCTTGAAACTTACACTTTATGTTATAACATCATGTCATTTTCACCATGGGTCCAAAACACACATGTCTGCAAAAGTTGCAGGCTTTTATTGTTGTAACACAGGACGTAGCATTTTTAAATCACTTACCTGGCACTCTCAAACAATAGTAGAGCCTCAGACAACAGTTAAATCCTATGCTAAAGTTATGTTAAATGTTACTCATTTAGTTTGGTTTAAGTGTCTATTCAGCACACTGATGCCTTGAAACATTTGACACAGCGTCTCGCTTTACTCATCTTGCTACAACATATTGAAAGTGATTTGTCATTTCAGCAAAAATACAAAGGAGAATTTGAGAAGACCAAAGGGAAGATGATCGGACTGAAGGGACTGCAGGATGACATAAACATTGCTCACTCGGTCCATGCCAGCAAGCTGCAGAGTGATGTAAGTGCTCCTTAAGTGTAACTCAAACACACTAATTATATATATAATGATATAATATAATGATATATTATGTTACAAACTCTCTACCCCTTGTCCCTTCGTCCCGCTCCAGATTAAGTACAAGCAGGACTCGGCAAAGCAGCTCTCAAAGTTCAACCTCTCGATGGACATGATGGAGGTCGCCCACGCCAAAAAGGCCCAGTCACTGGTCAGTGATCAGGACTACAGGCTTACCCTGCATCAGTACACCTCACTTCCTGATGACATGAAGGTGCAGGCAGCCAAGAAAGCATACGCTCTGCAGAGCGAGGTGAGATAGACAGCAGAATGCTGCAAATACATACAGTATTTCACATTAGTAAATTGTTGTTTTTGTCTTGTTTATTACTAAAACATTTCTGAAGCAATTAGACCAACTGGATGTTTGAAAATGAGCTGAAAAACTTTAATGTGTGTGTTGGTCACAGAATGTGTATCGCTCTGACCTGAACTACCTGCGGGGTGCAGCCTGGATCGCCACAGGGGCTCTGCAGATTGAAGGCTCCAAGAAGGCCATGGACCTCATCAGTGATGTAGGAGATCTTCTCTTCTTTTGTCTTTTATTTCTTATTCTATTTGTTTCGTGTACATACAGTACTGATGCTCTTATTGCCGTCATGTAGGTGTAGATTAGCAGTTCTCAACTTTGCCGGTCCTTGCAGGTCCTTGCAGGGGTTACATGGGAAATATTTTATTTCACTATTATTTTACTGACTAAAAGTGAACTTAATAAGATAATGTATATAAATGATTATTCTGTTCATAGGTTTCACACTTATATGTTTCACTGTTAGTCAGTCAATTTACAGAATAGACAGTATATAATAATGAAATCTTATCAGATGGTGATCTCTGAGACTACATCTTATCAAATACGGATCCACAGCCTGATGTGTACCAATTTGGCAGTCTTTGACACCAAAAGCTATGAGAACCACTGGTCTAGATCTAAAAAGTCAATTCTAAAGTATAGAATCATGAATATGTGTGTATTGAATCAATTCAATAATCACACATATCTTGACTTTTTACCATGAAATCAACTAAAAATGAACAAACACTAACTTTGTTCTTTCTTCTATAACAGAAAAAGTACCGCCAGCAGCCGTACAACTTCAAGCACACCTCTGTCGCTGACTCTCCAGATATCGTCCATGCCAAACTCAGTGGACAGATCACAAATGAAGTGAGACAATCACCTTATTGTTTTAGTTCTCTCCCAGTTGCTCAGTTAAGCTGTTATTTAAGACTTCAAATGATGTGTTTTATCCCTCTCTACCAGCGTTTGTACAAAGAGAAAGGGGTGAATGACCAGCACAACTACACTATAACAAGTGAGAGACCAGAGATTACGCAAGCAAAGATCAATGCAGCCAACTTTAGTGAGGTACTGACCTGTGCACCATACAATATATTGTAAACATATGTGACTTCATTTTTCATAGAGTGTGTTATTATACAGTTAATGATTTTTGGTTGTTTGTCTCTCTGCTCCAGATCAAGTACAGAGAGTCCTGGCACACTCTGAGGGCTCAGGGCTACAAACTCACCATGCAGGACATCCCCTTCCAGGCTGCCAAGAGCTCCACAGGCATCGCCAGTGATGTAAATATTATTACTGACTGATATAGATTAATATCTGCCAAAAATATCCACCTAAAGAGAGACCACATGTATATACAAAATGCATATAATGCAATGTAAGAGTATAATGCAATCACAGCAACATAACAAACTACAGCCTTCTGTGAGTTTAAATAATGTGCTTTCTAAGTTTCAGAAAAGTAAAGTAAAGTTGTTGCTGGGCTACTACACTGAATTGCATCAAAATACATAGATGTTGCTTATTTAGTTACATCAAGCCACAATTTAATGTCCAAATACAGTAAACTAGAGTGTATTACTTCTGTGTCTCTGCAGTACAACTACAAACACAACCACCTGCTGGAAAAAGGGAAGCACATCGGGGTCAAAAGCGTCTTGGACGACCCGCGACTCCTGCACTGCCTGCAGGCAGGCCGGCTGGCCAGCAACCAGGAGTACCGCAAGGATGCACTGACAACCAGTGGGCAGTACCACCTCACCCAAGACATGATTCACCTGGTGACGGCTAAGAATGCCCAGGCCCTCGCCAGCGAGCAGGACTACAGGAAGAAACTGCATGAGTACACAGTGCTTCCCGACGACATGAAGGTCAAGTGGGCCAAAACGGCTTACAACTTGCAGAGTGAGGTGAGACGTGTGGATGAGGAGGAGATATGAGCATAAAAAAAAGGATGAATCAACTTGACTGACTTTTTTTTTTCTTTATTTCAAGAAATTGTACAAGTCAGACCTCAATTTTATGAAAGGAGTGGCCTGGGACGGTGTGGGTGCACCCCAGCTGGAGTCAGCTAAGAAGGCTGGAGACCTTATAAGTGATGTGAGTAAATGTGGCAAATGGTATTAATTAGGGTGCATGTCTGTTAGCACATACAGGGCTGTAACAGGTCATGTGTCCCCCAGCAATTATCTTACCACCCTCATAATATTATGGGCAGAAAGCAAAAATATATTTCAATTTTTATTTGTAATTATTTAGATTTTTCAATGTTTTATGTACATTTTTTGATTAAACTCCTGCAGGTTGCTAAATGGTAGCTATGGCCCTGATTGCATATAAAGTCACATTCTGCATGTACACAATGTTGTTTTATGAAAAAACCTATACATATAGTTTCTGATAGATTCTATATGTGTGTTTTATTGCTCTGTATGTGCCTTTTAAGTCAATGTAGCATTAGTGTTGCTGTATGAAAGTGTGTAGCAGTAAAAAGGCAGGCGAGACATTTGATTCTTGGAACCTATTGTAATGCTGCACTTTCCACTGACCATATCTGTTCACAGAATTTTAGCCGATAGTATATTTTCATTCTTATTTTAACACAAAAAGTCTCAGTCCATTTGTGTTTCCTACTGTTAAAGTGTGTGTGGTCTTCCTTCATGCAGAAGAAGTATCGTCAGCTGCCAGACAGCCTGAGATTCACCTCAGTGGCAGACTCTCCTGATATCCTCCACGCTAAGACAAGCTATCAACAGTGCAGTGAGGTGAGGAGAAACTTTAAGGAACTTCTGTTGTTCTACTGCAAAAATTCTGGATGTTGTTGGTTTCTAATGACAATATTGTTCATGTTTTTACACTACAGAGGTTGTACAAATCTGGGAAGAATGATGACATGCACAAGTACACTTTACACTCAGATGATCCAGACTTTGTCAGAGCCAAGATGAACGCGCAGCAGATTAGCGATGTAAGCCAGTTTCTCACAATCCTAAATACAAGCAAATGATACACGGAGATATAAAAAAGCCAAAACCACTTTGTGACCTTTTTATCTTTAAAACTCTTTTCCCATGAAGAAAGTTTATAAGTCATCTGGGGAGCAAGTGAAGACATCAGGCTATGACCTGAGGCTGGATGCTATTCCCTTCCAAACTGCCAAGGCCTCCAGAGCAATTGCCAGTGATGTGAGTTCATGTGATGAAGTATAGTTTGTCACACAGTTTGAGTCCCTTCAGTCTGTCTTGAAACATTTTTGAAGCACACACTGGGACTTATTGTATATGCACCTTTTATTTTTTAAATAGTACTTCCTAATGTGGTGAAAAAACAGTCAGGCCTCTGTATTTTAAACTTACACCACCTACAATCTACAGAAAGTAATTCCCAAGTTTTTCAAATCCAAAAGATTTATTACGGAAGTTAGGAAGATTTGCTCATGTATTCTGGATGTAGAACAATTAGCAAAAGTCATTTTAAGGCAGAGCATTCTGAAATAGTTGCAGGTAATTTTAATCCATTGTTATTTTAAACCCCTAAAAACTAAATTTTGTCACAACAACAACTGAAAACTGTTTCTGTTTCTCCCTCCTATAGGTCCGCTACAAGGAGTCCCATCTGAAGGAGAAGGGCCAGCAGGTGGGGCTGCGCTGTGTGGAGGATGACCCCAAGATGGTGCACTCTCTGGCAGCCAGCAAACTCCAGAGCAACCTGGAGTATAAACGCCAGTCCAAGGAAGATCGGGGCCACTTCAAAATGCATGCTGACCAGCCCGAGTTTCTGCAGGCCAAAAAGAGTCAGGCTCAGGCTAGTGACCTCACCTACCGCCACAAGCTCCACGACTACACCTGTGACCCCGAGCAGCTCAATGTCAAGCATGCCAAGCAGGCCTACAAACTGCAGAGTGATGTAAGTCATCTATTGGGTTGAAGGTGGCTTTGCAACAACCAGTGTCATAATTGAATTCACATTTATTCACTATATCTATGTATGTGACAATGAGGAATCCTTTAAATCATATGATTTTATTGAGAAGGTCCCAGGTTCCCTATGTGGCATAGGTTATTTGTTTTGGTTATACACAATTAAGAAAAAATGATGATGGAATTTATTATTCAATCTTGATGGCCTTATAGAGGAGCTAAAAGGAAAGTGAATATTTGACTGTATGCTATTGTTTGTCTGCTGTATGTCAAACCTGGGGAAGGATCGTAATTCAAGTGTAAAAATACTGGTTGGTTTTTGGGACTGGT